CAATAAGAGTGGTGACAACTTCTACACCAAAAATAACCAGCATTAATAATTATTCTACCATCACAATACAGCATGTTCTTTTTTATTATTCAAAGCTCATTAACTAAGAAGATTTGAGTCGATACAATGCGGGCCACTCACTGGCCTGCACGGCTGGAAGTAGCGTAGGGCTTCCCACTCAAGTTACCTTCCGACCGGCCGGACATTACATCCTACATCGGTTGGTTACATTCCTTTTGTTACAAATTGTCTATATCGGATATTGTGTGAGGTGGGATTTCTGCGGTTTTTTAATCGGAGGGTCTGAAATTGATTTTTTTTGTGTTTATTTTGTTCTTATGATTTAGGTGTTTGTTTTAATTTGGGCACTCTCAACACAGTGGCAGATAATATATAGACATATATACCTTCGGAGAACCTAACGGGTATCCGGGGCTCCGGCTCGACGTGCAGGAGAAGGAACGGGGTGGTTTTTAGTCAGTAAGAGTCTGACCCTCCCTCCCGCCTCACCCAGGCGGGAGCAGTTATTCGATGATTTTCCCCCCTTAAAAAAAGGCCCTAGTACAAGTTTGATTAACGTTTAAAGTAGGTATTCGAAACGAGTACGCGTTTGTCAATCTGATTGGCCGTGCCAACCGCCGTTGCCCATCCACCAACCGTGCGACCGCATGGGTATGGACAACCGGCTGCCGCGCAACGTGTCGCGGGTTCGATTCTCGCACGAAACAACTTTTTGTGTGATCCACAGATTGTTGTCTCGGGTCTGGGTGTCATGTGTGAACTTGTATATTTATAAACTCACCCACGATACAGGAGGAAATCCTAGAGTGGGGCAATGCGTATTTTTACACACTCGCACACACTCATTTAAAAACGTATTCTCTTAACAAAATCGATTGAAAAAAAACTGTTTGACCGTTTGTAACTTAGAATTCTGCTCACCCTGTAAGATCGTGACTAGTGAAGCTAAGTGCGATCCCCTTTACCTTAATGAAGGTAGGGTGTACCGGCAGATGTGTCCACTAGGTACATCTGTGCACACACATCAAGGTATACATAACCAGTATAAACTGACCTTTGAAAGTGGGACAAGATCAAATAAAGTGAGACCACGATACATTGGTTTAATGGCTGCACGTCACACATCGAGTTTTATACTACCAGTATATCATGGTCCCGCTTTGTACCATCTTCCTGCACATTCGAAGGTCAGTTTGTACTGGTTGTGCAGTTTGATGTGTGGTTTGCCTCCTGTCAGTGACCTATCGCAAGACGGCGTCATAAAAAACTTTCTTCTTTAGACACACGCGATTTGTTCATAGAATAATAAAGAATGTTTTCAGACAAAGGTGCAGCTGTACCTATTACAATGTAATACACAGTTTTCATAAGTAAAAAAAGTCTTCAGTAATAGCTCAAGGTCTGGAATTATGAGCGATATAAATTACAATAGGCTGACCAAGCTGTGCAAGCTCCTCATGGAGCCATCAGACCACCACAGATGGGGCTCAATAGGGCTGATGCCGATACGGAGCCGCGGAGAACTTAACGGGTGATCGGGACTCCGGCTCGAAGTGCAAGAGAAGGAACGGGGTGGTTTTTAGTCAGTAAGAGTCTGACACTCCCTCTCGCCTCACCCGGGCGTGAGAAATCATTATCATTATATAAACCTGCCTTAGGAATCACTCTATCTATTAAAAAAACCGTATCAAAATCCGTTGCGTAGTTTTAAAGATCTAAGCATACATAGGGACAGACGGCGGATAGCGACTTTGTTTTATATTATGTAGTGTTAAGAAGGGCCTTTTTCCTAAGAGAAAAACGTTAGGCCCATTATAGGATACGAACATTTGGTAGGTATGTACATAGACTTAGACAAGTTTGGCATTTGGTCTTGAAGTCTAGAATAAATGTCGCGACCGGTAAACAAGCTCGAGAACTTTCATTATTGTTTGTAAAACGTCCACACGACTATTAATTGTAATTTATTACTGTGTGTTAAGGTTAGATTTCTGATAGGAATAGTGACAAAAAGAGGTATTTAGCAAATAATAAATACATTGAAGAGAGTGCTAGTATATTATAGATGTTGCGGTTCTTTAGGAATCAAGATAACTTGTTAGTTTGTTTTGTTTACATAACATCACGCCTTTTAAAATCGATTTCGAAGCAGATCGAGGCCGCTAGATACTGATCGAGGACGCTCGAAAGTGATCGAGGCCGCTCGAAACTGATCGAGGACGCTCGAAAGTGATCGAGGACGCTCGATAGTGTTGTGTTATATTGTACAGTGGAATTAAGCACCTCTCTCTGCCTAACCCTTCGGGGATAAAAGGTGTGATGTTATGTTATGTAATGTCAATATAATCTCTTCATCCGACATTGCGGGACAGTCCACTCTATTAGCCATCATTGCCAGAGCGGCATAGGAGCAGGCCCGAACCGCACAAAGGCAGCACCTCTTTTGCGCATGTAATACCTACTTAAGGCCCAAACATAAATTGTGTCTCCCTACCCAAATGGCAGTTTGACGATTTTGTGTTATGGCATATTGGCATACCTTTTTTGAAGAGTCATCCAATGACTTCTCCCGCCTGAGTGAGACGGGAGGGAGTGTCAGACTCTTACTGACTAAAAACCACCCCGTTCCTACTCTGCTTTGTGCCGGGGCGACGGTAACTCGTTAGGCTGTGTCTAATTATAACTACGATGTCATATAACCCTACATACCCATGTGACACTTACAAGCGTGATGTTTTCTTTTCACTTAAAACTATCTATAAAGGGTTATCAACTTGATGATTATCGTGCTAATATCGCGCCATTTATGAAAAGGTTACAAGCAGACACGTTTAGTTACAAGAGGTCAAAGCTAACTAAATGCTTTCTTCTATACTTGGATAGTAGGATCGTAATTTCTAAGTTAATATCTTTTTAAGGTCAAGTGGGGTTTAAAACTAAATGTTTTAGTTTTTAATTAACTAAAAACATGTTAAGCTTTTGAATTAATGAAGGGATCTGCAGAAGTGCACGTTTTGAATGTATTTTTCGCTTTTCGCATGTTATTATGGTATAAGCGGTGAACCTTATTGTGTATATCGAGCGTCCTCGATCACTTTCGAGCATTCCCGATCACTTTCGAGCGTCCTCGAAAATTCACGATTAAATCTAATACCGAATTGAATAAAATTAATAATATTTTACTCGGCCTCGGAATCGATCCTGAGATTCTTTTCTGCTACTTCTTTTTACACTTGCCACAACGTGATTAATGACGCGCCCCCTTTTTAATTAAATTTCTTCAAATTATTAAATTAATACCTACATATGGGTATGGGTATTTATTATTTCATACATTAATTCATTGCATCATACAAGAAATTACAACATACTATAATAATATGGAAACACCGTATTACCAAAAAACAAGGTGTTTGCCCCAATAGTTGGCACAGGCGGCCACCTCGGTATTACGTAAGTTCCTGATCGATAGCACCTGGGCGCCCACCTGCCGAATACACGTGCTCACACCCTACACAAATCATCTGAGATGATCGAAATTATTTTTGAAATAACTTTTATCAAGTTAATTATTTTTATGTTACACGAGTTAAAAGGATGCTAAGAATGTGGTAAAAGGGCTCTCTATATTCTCTTCTGTACTTCATAAATTAATATTGTATGCAAAATTTCAAGAAGATTGGTTCACTTGAAAAACGTAGTTTAAATTACATACATAACTTCACGCCTGTCTCCCATGGGGGTAGGCAGAGACTATGGATCGCCAATTGCTACGATTCCAACATACATCGTTCGCTTCATCAACAGTCATCAATCTTTTCATGCATGCTCGTCGGTTAAGGGTACTTTTAATTTGGACCTTCTTAATATATTGCCAATCTGGTCTGTATATGTACATACGTCTAGTTTAAATTACTATCCAGTTAAAGCTATCTCCAGAAACAAAAATCTATGACAGTAACATTCCGACGTTATCCTTACTATCCTTATCCTTACTAATATTATAAATCGGAAAGTGAGTTTGTTTGTTTGTTCCGCTTTCACGCCGTAACTACTAAACCGATTGCTTTGAATTTTTGCAGATGTAAAGTTAGAAGTCCGGATTAAATAATAGGGTACTTTTTATCCCGGAAAAATGTGATATTCTCGAGGGAAAAGGAAATTATAGATGGCGCTGTGCATATTGGTATATGTCACAAAGGCTACTTTTTATCCTTTTATGACGCGAGCGAAGCCGCGGGTAAAAGCTAGTAAAGAAATAAGAAAGATTGTTCTAGGTATGTGGAAAAATCCAAAACTTATAAAAAAAAATCTAACTAGTTCGGGAAAATATCCAACTAGTTTGTATAACAAGAATAGGGTAGACGACTAATTTTTATTTTAATGTCCGTCTGGTAGATTATTTAAAAACATTAGACACGTATTTTTTATTTTCTTACGGAAACGAATAGTTTCGAAGATATATTGATTTGAAATGTCGCGTGACGTCACTTCTCAGTACATTTTATACTGAGAAATGACGTTTTAGCCCCCACTCCTAAACTTTGATTCGTTTTATCTAAGTATTGTTTTATTATACGACAAAATAAAAAAATACGTGTCTAATATTTTTTAATTACCTAACTTACGGACTAATTAGATTTTTAATTTTCATACCCTGTCATCATCCCCATTTACCTACCTTTTTGAGGAATAAAGGCTGCGGTTAAGTTTTTTTTATTAGGTGTTTTTTATTGTTAAACGAGCAGACGGATCACCTAATGGTAATCAATCGGCGCCGCCCAATGATTTAGGAATACCATAGGCGTTACAAGTACGTTGCTGGCATTTTGAGGATAGTTGGGATTTAGGGATTGGGGAAGTGGGGGGAGGGGGAGTAGTTGGGCGTCCGATAACGTCACTCATACGACAAAATACAACGCAAGCATGTTTCACGTCGGTTTTCTGTGTGGCCGTGGTATAACTACGGTCGAGCCGGCTCATTCGTGCCGACGCATGGCTCTCTTACGCTTATAAACACGAGGACGCTCGAAAGGTTTCAAGGACTCTCGATAGTTTTCGAGGACGCTCGAAAGCGATCGAGGACGCTCGAAAGTGATCGAGGACGCTCGATAGGTTTCGAGGACGCTCGAAAGTGATCGAGGGCCACCGATATTTTTCGAGGACGCTCGAAAGTAATCGAGGACGCTCGATAGTTTTCGAGGACGCTCGAAAAAGATCGAGGACGCTCGATAGGTTTCGAGGACGCTCGAAAGTGATCGAGGACGCTCGATAGTTTTCGAGGACGCTCGAAAGTGATCGAGGACGCTTGATAGTTTTCGAGGACGCTCGAAAGTGATCGAGGACGCTCGATAGTTTTCGAGGACGCTCGATAGGTTTCGAGGACGCTCGAAAGTGATCGAGGACGCTCGAAAGTGATCGAGGGCGCTCGATAGTTTTCGAGGACGCTCGATAGGTTTCGAGGACGCTCGAAAGTGATCGAGGACGCTCGATAGTTTTCGAGGACGCTCGAAAGTGATCGAGGACGCTCGATAGTTTTCGAGGACGCTCGAAAGTGATCGAGGACGCTCGATAGTTTTCGAGGACGCTCGAAAGTGATCGAGGACGCTCGATAGGTTTCGAGGTCGCTCGAAAGTGATCGAGGACGCTCGAAAGTGATCGAGGGCACTCGATAGTTTTCGAGGACGCTCGATAGGTTTCGAGGACGCTCGAAAGTGATCGAGGACGCTCGATAGTTTTCGAGGACGCTCGAAAGTGATCGAGGACGCTCGATAGTTTTCGAGGACGCTCGAAAGTGATCGAGGACGCTCGATAGTTTTCGAGGACGCTCGATAGGTTTCGAGGACGCTCGAAAGTGATCGAGGACGCTCGATAGTTTTCGAGGACGCTCGAAAGTGATCGAGGACGCTCGATAGTTTTCGAGGACGCTCGAAAGTGATCGAGGACGCTCGATAGGTTTCGAGGACGCTCGAAAGTGATCGAGGACGCTCGATAGTTTTCGAGGACGCTCGAAAGTGATCGAGGACGCTCGATAGTTTTCGAGGACGCTCGATAGGTTTCGAGAACGCTCGATGGTTTTCGAGGACGCTCGAAAGTGATCGAGGACGCTCGATAGTTTTCGAGGACGCTCGATAGTTTTCGGGGACGCTCGAAAGAGATCGAGGACGCTCGATAGGTTTCGAGGTCGCTCGAAAGTGATCGAGGACGCTCAAAAGTGATCGAGGACGCTCCATAGTTTTCGAGGACGCTCGATAGTTTTCGAGGACACTCGATAGGTTTCGAGGACGCTCGAAAGTGATCGAGGATGCTCGATAGTTTTCAAGGACGCTCGAAAGTGATCGAGGACGCTCGATAATTTTCGAGGATGCTCGAAAGTGATCGAGGACGCTCGAAAGTGATCGAGACCGCTCGATAGTTTTCGAGGACACTCGATAGTTTTCGAGGACGCTCGATAGTGATCGAGGATGCTCGATAGTTTTCGAGGACGCTCGATAGGTTTCGAGGACTCTCGATAGTTTTCGAGGACGCTCGATAGTTTTCGAGGACGCTCGATAGTTTTCGAGGACGCTCGAAAGTGATCGAGACCGCTCGATAGTTTTCGAGGACACTCGATAGTTTTCGAGGACGCTCGAAAGTGATCGAGGACGCTCGAAAGTGATCGAGACCGCTCGATAGTTTTCGAGGACACTCGATAGTTTTCGAGGACGCTCGATAGTTTTCGAGGACGCTCGATAGTTTTCGAGGACGCTCGATAGTTTTCAAGGACGCTCGAAAGTGATCGAGGACGCTCGATAATTTTCGAGGACGCTCGAAAGTGATCGAGGACGCTCGATAGTTTTCGAGGACGCTCGAAAGTGATCGAGGACGCTCGATAGGTTTCGAGGTCGCTCGAAAATGATCGAGGACGCTCGATAGTTTTCGAGGACGCTCGAAAGTGATCGAGGATGCTCGATAGTTTTCGAGGACGCTCGATAGGTTTCGAGGACTCTCGATAGTTTTCGAGGACGCTCGATAGATTTCGAGGACGCTCGATAGTTTTCGAGGATGCTCGAAAGTGATCGAGACCGCTCGATAGTTTTCGAGGACACTCGATAGTTTTCGAGGACGCTCGAAAGTGATCGAGGACGCTCGAAAGTGATCGAGGACGCTCGATAGTTTTCGAGGACGCTCGATAGTTTTCGAGGACGCTCGAAAGTGATCGAGGACGCTCGATAGGTTTCGAGGACGCTCGAAAGTGATCGAGGACGCTCGAAAGTGATCGAGGACGCTCGAAAGTGATCGAGGACGCTCGATAGTTTTCGAGGACGCTCGATAATTTTCGAGGACGCTCGAAAGTGATCGAGGACGCTCGAAAGTGATCGAGGACGCTCGATAGTTTTCGAGGACGCTCGATAGTTTTCGAGGACGCTCGAAAGTGATCGAGGACGCTCGAAAGTGATCGAGGGCGCTCGATAGTTTTCGAGGACGCTCGATAGGTTTCGAGGACGCTCGAAAGTGATCGAGGGCGCTCGATAGTTTTCGAGGACGCTCGATAGGTTTCGAGGACGCTCGAAAGTGATCGAGGACGCTCGAAAGTGATCGAGGACGCTCGATAGTTTTCGAGGACGCTCGATAATTTTCGAGGACGCTCGAAAGTGATTGAGGATGCTCGATAGTTTTCGAGGACGCTCGATAATTTTCGAGGACGCTCGAAAGTGATCGAGGATGCTCGATAGTTTTCGAGGACGCTCGAAAGTGATCGAGGACGCTCGATAGGTTTCGAGGTCGCTCGAAAATGATCGAGGACGCTCGAAAGTGATCGAGGACGCTCGATAGGTTTCGAGGACGCTCGAAAGTGATCGAGGATGCTCGATAGTTTTCGAGGACGCTCGATAGGTTTCGAGGACTCTCGATAGTTTTCGAGGACGCTCGATAGATTTCGAGGATGCTCGAAAGTGATCGAGACCGCTCGATAGTTTTCGAGGACACTCGATAGTTTTCGAGGACGCTCGAAAGTGATCGAGGACGCTCGAAAGTGATCGAGGACGCTCGATAATTTCGAGGACGCTCGAAAGTGATCGAGGATGTCGATAGTTTTCGAGGACGCTCGAAAGTGATCGAGGACGCTCGATAGGTTTCGAGGACGCTCGAAAGTGATCGAGGACGCTCGATAGTTTTCGAGGACACTCGATAGGTTTCGAGGACGCTCGAAAGTGATGGGATGCTCGATAGTTTTCGAGGACGCTCGATAGGTTTCGAGGACTCTCGATAGTTTTCGAGGACGCTCGATAGATTTCGAGGATGCTCGAAAGTGATCGAGACGCTCGATAGTTTTTCGAGGACATCGATAGTTTTCGAGGACGCTCGAATAGTGTCGAGGACGCTCGAAAGTGATCGAGGACGCTCGATAGTTTTCGAGGACGCTCGATAGTTTTCGAGGACGCTCGAAAGTGATCGAGGACGCTCGATAGGTTTCGAGGACGCTCGAAAGTGATCGAGGACGCTCGAAAGTGATCGAGGACGCTCGATAGTTTTCGAGGACGCTCGATAATTTTCGAGGACGCTCGAAAGTGATCGAGGACGCTCGAAAGTGATCGAGGACGCTCGATAGTTTTCGAGGACGCTCGATAGTTTTCGAGCGTCCTCGATAATTTTCGAGGACGCTCGAAAGTGATCGAGGACGCTCGATAGTTTTCGAGGACGCTCGATAGTTTTAGGGGACGCTCGAAAGTGATCGAGGACGCTCGATAGGTTTCGAGGTCGCTCGAAAATGATCGAGGACGCTCGAAAGTGATCGAGGACGCTCGATAGTTTTCGAGGACGCTCGAAAGTGATCGAGGACGCTCGATAGTTTTCGAGGACACTCGATAGGTTTCGAGGACGCTCGAAAGTGATCGAGGATGCTCGATAGTTTTCGAGGACGCTCGATAGGTTTCGAGGACTCTCGATAGTTTTCGAGGACGCTCGATAGTTTTCGAGGACGCTCGAAAGTGATCGAGGACGCTCGATAGTTTTCGAGGACGCTCGATAGTTTTCGGGGACGCTCGAAAGTGATCGAGGACGCTCGATAGGTTTCGAGGTCGCTCGAAAGTGATCGAGGACGCTCGATAGTGTTCGAGGACGCTCGATAGGTTTCGAGGACTCTCGATAGTTTTCGAGGACGCTCGATAGTTTTCGAGGACGCTCGATAGTTTTCGAGGATGCTCGAAAGTGATCGAGGACGCTCGAAAGTGATCGAGACCGCTTGATAATTTTCGAGGACGCTCGAAAGTGATCGAGGACGCTCCATAGTTTTCGAGGACGCTCGAAAGTGATCGAGGACGCTCGATAGTTTTCGAGGACGCTCGAAAGTGATCGAGGACGCTCGATAGTTTTCGAGGACACTCGATAGGTTTCGAGGACGCTCGATAGTTTTCGAGGACGCTCGAAAGTGATCGAGGACGCTCGATAGGTTTCGAGGACGCTCGAAAGTGATCGAGGATGCTTGAAAGTGATCGAGGACGCTCGATAATTTTCGAGGACTCTCGATAGTTTTCGAGGACGCTCGATAGTTTTCGAGGATGCTCGAAAGTGATCGAGGACGCTCGAAAGTGATCGAGACCGCTTGATAGTTTTCGAGGACACTCGATAGTTTTCGAGGACGCTCGAAAGTGATCGAGGACGCTCGAAAGTGATCGAGGACGCTCGATAGTTTTCGGGGACGCTCGATAGGTTTCGAGAACGCTCGATAGTTTTCGAGGACGCTCGATAGTTTTCGAGGACGCTCGATAGTTTTCGAGGACGCTCGAAAGTGATCGAGGACGCTCGATAATTTTCGAGGACGCTCGAAAGTGATCGAGGACGCTCCATAGTTTTCGAGGACGCTCGAAAGTGATCGAGGACGCTCGATAGTTTTCGAGGACGCTCGAAAGTGATCGAGGACGCTCGATAGTTTTCGAGGACACTCGATAGGTTTCGAGGACGCTCGATAGTTTTCGAGGACGCTCGAAAGTGATCGTGGACGCTCGATAGGTTTCGAGGACGCTCGAAAGTGATCGAGGATGCTCGATAGTTTTCGAGGACGCTCGATAGGTTTCGAGGACTCTCGATAGTTTTCGAGGACGCTGGAAAGCGATCGAGGATGCTCGAAAGTGATCGAGGATGGTCGAAAGTGATCGGGAATGCTCGAAAGTGATCGGGAATGCTCGAAAGTGATCGAGGGCGCTCGATAGTTTTCGAGCATGCTCGATAGTTTTCGAGGACGCTCGATAGTTTTTGAGTCACTCTCGAATGTGATCGTGGACACTCAATAGTTTTCAAGAACGCTCGATAGACTTCGAATTTACGGCGCTACTCACCGGTATAGGGCCTCAAACGTAATACACAACGCTAATATTGCTTGCGTCAAGTGGGATTTTCCAGGCGATGATATTTCTTATTATGCTTTCTGCTTACTCTGGACAATGATTTTGAAAAGTAGGTAATGAGTCGCTCGATTTGCCGCCCCCATGATCGTGCGCCCGTGTGCTGTGCACGCTTTGCACGCGCGCTTACTATACAGCGGGCCTGCTTATAAAAAACAAACACAAAGGTGAAGACATAATTTCAAGTATTTTATAAAAACAAATAATAAAATGTTGTCATTAAAACTAAACGTACTATAATTGTAAGCCGTTACAATTTCTTATAAGAAAGTATGAATAAGACCAGCTAGTTATAAGAATTTATAGATGTCATACGGTTTCATAATAAGACCAATTAAATACTTTATTTTCATGTCACAAAGTTCAATTTTTATTACAGACTTGGTAACTTTTGATTGAATATACATAGGTAAGTTACATTTCAATTGTAATCCAAATTAGAATTGCGATCCCAAATCTTGCCATCCCAAAAATTGCACTGTTTTTAGGTATTCTACTATAATTTGTCTACACCTTAATTGTTGTAGCAAACAATACTCACCTTTTATCTTTAGAAATAAGAGTCATTATTGGATGTCAAACTTCTGCTGTCTTCTTCAACAGATGTAAAACCTTATTTTGGTACAGTACAGTTTTTACTGCTATTAGTATAGCAAATAATAGTTAACTCACACGAATAACGATTAATGTGATAATATGCTGCAAAGTAAGTTATTCATATTAGTTCTGACTTAATGTGGACATTACAGATGTGTGCAGTGCTTCTCTCTGCTCATTTATTACATTATTAAGAAATGCTCATTCTCTTCTCTTCTCTTCTCTCTGCTCATTTATTACATTGTTAATCTTAAATTATCAGTTTACTAGATGTCGCTACTAAAATGTTATGTCATTTTGTGTTGATTGCATTTTTAATTTAGGTAATGCAAAAATTTATTAAAGTGTTATTTATTCTTTTTGAGAAAGATTTTTAAGGACGCCGTACATCAGCTTCAGTTCTCCTAAACTCAAAGATTTAATCACATCTTATTATAATATCGACGAGTCTGCCGGTTAATTATGACATCATAATATCAAAATATTGTATTGACGTATTAACGTCAAGTGCAAAAGATAGGGAGAACCCAAATCAGTGTCAGTTTATTTGTGATGCTCAGACAAAACCAACAAAACAATACAATACTTTTATTACTAAACTGAATATATCTCTTCTACATTGTCTTATTAATACTCAAACGTCCAAATACATCTAAGGGCCTGTAACCGCTGGTAACGTACTTGAAGTATGTCGACTTTGATCCAACGTCTTACATATGACGCGCAAATTGACACTACCTCGGTAGAATGCATTTATTGGGGTAGGTCAGTTAGGTACTGTTTATATCTAACGGTTTTTTATGCACTTTAAGTTCGAAATATAAAATAATATAAGTGTTGGAATGAAATATGTATTGAAATGAGAACGCCCTCTATCCAAATGAAGCAGGGCAAGTAAATTGATAAGTGAATCTTAGAATTCATTAGGGTCATCAGCTAATACTGCTGAAAAACGTCTACTACTATGCAGTTCATCAACATATCGTAAGAAGGGATATGCCCAGTAGTGAACAAAGGTCGCCTTCGCCTTTATGGAGTTCTGCCACGACAATTTAATTCCTAAGTTTGTTGATAGACGGTTCAAGACTCGTAGTTTTACCGGCCTTCGAAAACCGGCAACAAAATTTTTGGTTATTAAAAATTTTGTTGCCGGTTTTCGAAGGCCGGTAACAGTTTCATCTTTGAAGCGTTTGTTCGTCGAAATCTTAGTATTGGACTTCGTTTTTATAGTACTTAGTATGGCTTTATTAAAGAAAATGTAAACATTACGATTAAACCCACTTAACAGCTTCATTACTAAACTAATAAAGTAGTAAAATAAATTAATATCAGTTTAACTAATGCAGGCACTAACTAATTAATAAAAAAATACTCTTTATATTGTAATTTTACTTAGGGTAAAAGTTTTACAAAGTTAGACTCCCGCGCAGAAACAAAAGGTCTACTGAGGATAAAAACCGCGCACGCGCCGCTACGCCGCAGGGTGACGGCACCTGTATGCAGTTTTTACGACTACATTATCCAGGAACTTTAGATTGCTTTACTTAGTGTCTATGTTTTTATTTTACGATGCTAGTTTAATTAATAAACGCCTTTTATACCTAAAAAGATGAAAAATTTAAGTCTCTGTCATTATAGTGTATTTCAGTGAAAGTGTTTTTGCTTGTCTCTTGACCATATAGACAAAGTTATATATAAAGATGTTTTTTTTTTTAAATCCAATAATACTTTGCGCCACCAGGGACTTTAGACTAAAAAAAAATTAATTACTTGATACTTGCTCTTAAACTGTCAAACACCGCGAGGACACCGGTGACCGCAACCTATTGTTCTTTAATTGTGTCTATAATGACGGTACTCAAAGAGTTAAATGGCTTCGATTGTATGTGACCACTCACTGCCAATTTAAACCAATAGTTCTATAATAAAATACACATAAGAAAAAGAAAACGAAAAAATATATTAATATCAATAGAGAAAGAAATATTTCTTGAACTTTCGAATAACGTATTTGTAAGTAATTGAACAGGAGGTAGGCAGGCTTGGATCTTGATATAAAAAGTATAAAAAATAAATAACGGATCACACATGCGCCGGACGGTTGAGAGGAAACTGGAGGGAACGTCAACATTTTACTTTTTATTGCAACTAAGATTATAAATTGCTTCTTGTCTTACGAGATTGTATTGATGACAATATAGATTTTGATTAGTATATTTTTATATTTTGAAGTGGAAGACGTGCTTTCAAAACGTTAATATTTAGGTAATAGGGACAACAAACATTTCTTATATTCTTACCTGTAAGCTTATTATCTTCGTTATATGCCACTGTTATAGGAGTTAGTACAACTTATTCTATTAACCATCTTATATTCTTGAACTAAATATTCAACAAAATTAAAAATAATAAAAATTCATCTCAACAACATCTTTCAAGACATATTATTCTCAAGTGACTACAAAGACTTTGTCTCAGGCTACACAGGTTGCGTATCCCTGGCGAGGGTGCAGGCACCTGCGCGTGGGCACGTGCCAACTGTCCCGTGTCCCCCTCCCCCTCCTCCCCCGCGTCCTGTGCCCGCACAACCCCTCACTCTTCCGCTGCATCCGGCCAAAGCCTCTGTTGTTATTCTACTTTTTAATGACTACTTTTTCGTTGACTTCCATTTTTATTTCTCGAGGTGATTCATGAAGTTTGAACTTCGAACAAGTGGCTTTTTTTTTGGATGTGATGAGTAATTCTTTGTTGGTTTGTACTTTTTCATATTATCTTTGAGTTCTTTAGACAACTAGCTATTGTTAACAAAAGCTAGCTAGTATCAGAATCTGTTGTGCCTACCGACCCTAGTTTAAATTAAGTAACAAGAAGAAATTACAATCGTTAGTAATGCCTAATCATTGAGTCGTATATTTCATCCTTTTATCTCCATTGTAGAAATAACGGCCAAAGCTACGAAACCTTTATAGTAGAGCAAACCGTCATGCGTCATCAGCAAGGAGTTTGGTTGTCCACGGACAAGACTGTCAGCCAATGCTCTTAACCGTTACACCGCCGACTTATATAGCATCGGTAAATCCGTTGCAACGGTCAAAATGACCGAACAAAAAAACTGTATCAACCACCTTGCGAAACACAAAGCGAATCATTAAAAAGAGACCATACCATTGTCTAGTAGACAACGCACCAACTTTCCCATATTCAATTTAAAAGGACCTAGTGTCCTTTGTCCTTCGATACAGTTTTGCAACGAAACTAGAACGTTCTCACGCAACGCAAAAATTTCGCCGATAGACAAACGTCCGAATATCGGTACTGAATAGATGACGAACAATAAAATAGATTCGCGAAAGGGATTACAAATAATGCCTTGTAAGAAAAGGGTGGTTTTCTAAAGAAAGGTCAGTAGGGTCACTCGAGGCGTAGGGCTGACCCTATAACTCACGGTGCACTGATTTCAGGGTGTTTAAACTGGCGTAAAGGGTTGTTGTGACCTCTAAGACCCTTTGTATTGACCGTGCAGGTCAGCACGGGTTGGCTACCTGGACCGGCCGGGCAGGGCTGACCCTGCCCAAGAATGGACAATTAAAACGAGAACGTTGCATCAACGGTAATTTGGAAAATCGCGATAACCTCTGTTCTTTATAAAGTATTTAGTTGATAGTTTTGTGTTGCTATTTGTAACGTTTTATGATATACCAGTTGGTGCACTATAACGACTGTTGTGGCTATTGAAAATTTTATGCTGCTTTTAAACTATATGTAGAAATGTTTTGTCGGTACCAACGGGTCTGCGGAAACGACCACTTAATATTTTCAATTGTTTTCTTATAGTTGCTATAAACTGAATTAACCGAAACCTTTCAGTATAAGCAATCTATTTAACGATATTACCACAGCTGATTGTTATATCGTCTTCATTAACATATCATTACACAGAAGTATAAACATACGGAATATTCTATATTTATTTATTAATTTTTATGTCCGTTTATAAAAAAATTTGCAACGTAATTAAATTTTGCATCGGAAGCCTTATCCGTGGACAAACAATCTAGAACGTCCCGTCTTTTTGTATCATCGTCTATTACATGTTCGAAATAGACGTTATTCAAAATGTCAAAAATATCAACGTCCACCAAATGACCGTTTAAATATATAAGAAAATCAACCCTTACAAACAATCTTGTCTTAACGAACATTCGATACAAGTCAGTGTTACACTTCGCATGACGTATAACGGTCATAACTTTACAATAATACGCAAATACCGACCATTCTATTATGTTCACATTATATTAAAATCACATAAACATTTGCAAAGGCGAATCCGTGGGGCGTTGATGGACAATGCAAAAAATAGAGCATAGAAAACTGTTTCCCATAAAAATTGCGCCAAAAGGGTTTGGTCATATAGACCGTCTTTGTTCTGGGACAGTGAGAAATTTTGCGCTGGCTGAATGGGCCATAGTTAGAAATGGGTCAGTTAGACCGGCAGGTACATGGATAGTGTTCGTTATTGTTCTGCGGCATCGCAGGGTTATGCAAATTGGATGGACACGAACAATGAGCCGATCATTGTGAGATGTTAAGATGGACGGTAAATTTTTTGTCCAAGTTTGCACTATTGTGGGTTATAGACAATTCATCTATGATGAGATGGTCGGTCGGACCGTTGAGAATGTCTTTATTGAGCGATTTTATTTGGTTGAAGACAAAGGACGGTAAGTAAAAGATTTTTGACATTAACCCTTTGAGTACCGTCATTATAGACACAATTAAAGAACAATAGGTTGCGGTCACCGGTGTCCTCGCGGTGTTTGACATTAAGTAGTATCTTTGTAAGTTGTTCGTAAGTGTAGTTGTGTTTGACGTAAATCACTATCTTATAGTATCGATTAAGTAAATATCTACATTTTTTGCATCTACAGAAGAGTAACAGATAACTCTGAAATCATGAAGTCCGTTCT